GGCCGTATTGCCTTTTCAGAACAGGTATTTTCTCTCCTTCGACCTCGACAGGTTTGTTTACTGATTATCTTTACATAAAATTTTTCTCATTAAAGGCACCAGTTCATTTTGGATCTGCTGCGGAATATGCCTCTGCCAGTGGGTGGACGCGCCGCGAATAAGATGGAGGAGGAAAACAGGCATCCGGATGTTCCACATCGATCTTTATCCTGCCCGGAAGAACAGGTTGGTCTGGATTACACGTGCTTCTTCCAGTCGGGCTCAAAACCGCCGGAAATCTCGCGACACATGAAAATTCTTAAATCGAGAGAAAGAAAACGGAAAAGTGACCGGAAGCTTAAAATGCAGGATGGTCTCGAAGGCGGATTAAATCAAAGATGCGGACAACGTAAACATCCTTGATCATAAAAATCTCTGTTTCCTCCTTAAAGCCATCGTCATCAGACTGTACCATTGTCATACAGTTTGCTTGTCTAAACATTGTCCTCACAGGATGAGCAAATCAGAGATTCAAGTGTAACTTCTGGCGTCTTTGTGAATGCAAACCCGTTTATAAATAAATTGTCTGCGGTTACACTTTCTGTGTAGCACAATTCGTATAAATAACGAAGGGCTATCAACATAAAAGAGTGGATAGTGAAAATGTCAGAGAGAATTATGGTATCGCCAATGGTGAGACGGCAACCGTGGGGTCATGGAGTGGAGCTATTTCGTCCCCGGGAAATCTGACACGGCTTCTGTCGACAGCCACTTCTTTAAGGTCGATCCTGGGAATCATTGCAGTATACATATGATGAGCTTGAACAACGCCAGGCTACTTCATTCTGTCGACATTGTGGATGTCTTAGGTGCTGTGGCACGGAAAATGGATTTCCCATTATTCCTGTTGGTCCAGAACTGAAGGGGAAAGCACAGTGAAGATTATGATGTCCCTGCTCTTAAGAAAGCACTATAATTGTTGAACGGTAAGCTAAAATTCCAGAAATCCGCATTCTAAAACGCTTTATAAAATCTTAACAGATGAGAACTGTCTGGAGTAAGACTTGAGGATTTAGGAGAATCTGCGAGATATTGCGGCACTGCCGCTTCGAGGGCAGCAGTACGTTGACAGCAGGGCGGATAAGGTCAGCGAGTCAGAATCGACGTCAGCCTGTCTAAGCAGCAACAATATCGAATGAGTGTTTACGGAGCTACCCAAATCGCAAGGAAGGTCTGCGCTCGGGAAACATCTACCTCTGCATTGCGGAAGAAAGCGGCGAGAGAGATTAACTAGAGTGAAGGCGAAGTTTTGATTTCCAGATGTATACAAATGTGTAGAAGAAGAGTCGAGTATCGGACCACTTTGTTTATTGTCCCGAGCTCTTCAAACGGATCCAAACTCATTGCAGCAAACCGGAGGACAGAGCACGTAAGGCCCGTTATCTCCGCGAGCAGTTTGTGCAAAATGGCAATCCGAACGCATTTATAAGTCGCTGCCTAAGTGGTCGTCACCAGAGAAGTCGAACATCAACGCCACCGACGATATGGCATTCTCTGTCATACATCAAGGGCGTTTCCGAAGCGGCCGAGCACATGGCTGCGGAGCTAGTTGTTGGAATTACCCACCGTCCCAAAGCCACCATGCGCAATATGGTCATGAAAATCAAAGATCAGTTAATGCCTGATGAGCAATCTGGAGGAATGTATCGCATTCCGTGTCAAAATTGTCCTTATAACTACACAGGACGGACTGGGCGCACGCTCGGATCGCGCATACACGAACATAAGCTGGCTGTGCGTCGAGGCGACGCATTATCCCAAGTGGCCGCCCACACCTACAAAATGAGTCACGAGTTTAACTTCGCAGCCACCAAAATAGTTGCCCACGCCGGAAACAAAACAGGCCGAGAATTGATTGAAGCCTGGGCCTCAGATGAGAACTCGGTCAATCGGTTTATCGATCTAGCGACGGCGTACAGAGTCCTGCGTAATCAGCTCCAGTCTTGTGCCATCGGTTGATGACTGGCCTACATGCCTAAAAATTTTTGCTTGTTCTGTCGCTGCTACTACCTCTGGCGATGGACTCCAGTACGAGTCTGAAAGCTCAGAACAAGAAACAGAGTGTTCCCATGCTCGACTCTTATTCACATGTTAACCAGAGTCATTAAGTGCTTTAACTGGCTGTCAGAGGTTGGTCTGGGAAACGATTGGTTCACAGCAGTGTTTGAGCGAAATGACTGAAGGATGACGTTGTTGACTGGATGGTCCACGCATATGATGACAGATGGGCCGTTTACGCACTTGGTGGGACGTATTACGGGGCTGAACTTCAAAAGTTATGTGTACTTCCCCATTAGCACTGGTCACCACGACGTTCTGCATCCAGTAGGGTAGATCCCCTCTATGACTACCTTCAAACTGTTCGCATATTACAAAATTCCTCGGAGCATCCTAAAATCCTCTATAGTTATATACGTAATGGACAGAGCAATCGTGAACCGATTCCAGCGCTAAGATCCCAAAACGGAGTAATTGAGACAGATGACCACCTGAAAGCATCAGCCTTCTCCAATTTATTTCAGTCGGTATTCACTCATGACACAGACCCTCCTGACATGCCTTACGTAGACCAACGACAAAATCCTTCCTGTCCTGCATTGGAAGACAATCCCTTCTTCTCACCCACGTTGATAAGGACCGAACTACGCCGGCTGAAACCTACCAAATCACCTGGTCCAGGTGGAGTTCATCCACTTATCCTC